TCCCATGGGTACTAATTATTTTGAGGTGTGGCCCATAATTGCCCGGGTTGGAGCACTTTAATGAGGCTGTCTGGCTGCTCTCTGCCCACAATAATATTCCAAAGCAATTCCTTGTGCTGAGGAGTGGAGTAATTGTGGGATTTCAGCTTGCCCAAGCAATATGGCAAAGCATGAGAAGAAGGGCAAGGGTGTACATGCTCAGGCTGCTGTGTCTGTAGCTACAAGCATTTCAGATAAACTTTCCATCCAGAACAGAAAACAGGTACTGAAGCGTAGATATAGGGCTACATGGCAGCTTTTGTTCTAGTCTCAGCAGAGGAAGAAAGAGTTAATTTAAAATGGCCCTTCAGATATTTTTGAATTGCATCTCCTCAAATCCTGTACTAGGGATGATGGGAAATATAGTCTACAGTATATGGAAGCTAAGAATTGCTCAATGTTAGTGTAAAAGAACAAGGAAGAAAGGAAGGAAGAAAACTTCTTTTGACTGAAATCTGTTGCTCACTCTGAATGAGGAGAAGGGGTTAATTAAGGAACAATTCTAGGTTTTGGTCTCCAATTACCCAGAGGTTTATTTGTGTACTTTGTAACCTGAGCAAACCGCTTTCTGAGAAGACAGGACTATAGTCCAAGAATCTTGAAATAGCTGGTACTGGTATAAAAGAACATAAACAAGCATTGCAGGATTTCTGGATCTTGGCAATAGATCTCTTATTTTATCCTATTATAGCTATATGGTTTTAATCCTACATTGTTTTTCTATGTTCTGGGTTGCATGCGGATTTTAAGAATGAGAAGATGCTTCCTTTTGTCTCCAGGCAAAGAAAAATGCAATAAAGCTAGAAGAGAGTAAATTCCATACCCAGCTAAAATGTTTAAAAAAAAAAATCTGCTATCACCAGCAGGCTAAGAATCTCATAAAACTGAAGGTGAAAACCTACTCTTTGGTGTGGCATCCTGTCCTCCTCCCCCGTGAGAACACAGGAACTTGATCAGGTGCCGGATACAGCCTAGCTCACGGTAAGGCGGAACAGACCATCCGCTTTGGTATCCTGTCTCCATGGGTAGCCAATGCACAGGAAATCAACCTGACTGCGTTGGGTCTGCTAGGCCTTCCTCATATCCTGGCTGAGATTTTTTCTTTTCTTTTTTTTCCTGTCCTTCAGCCGGAGCCTTTGGGGTGGAGGGAGTTCAGATTCCTGGCAGAGAGTCACACTGTGTGAGTGGGAGGTACTGTATTAGCTATGCTGCCTTTGTTCTGCTGGAGATGTGCTTGGGGCGTTATCAAAGACCCTTCTGTCTTTTCACAGGGGAGTGTCTTGCACAGGCAATGGCGTGACAGGGCCCCTAGGTGCAATGCAGAATAGTCCAGACTTGCTGTGCATTTTCCATCACAATGGCATCAGAGCTGAAAAGCTGAAGGGAATGCAAGAGGACAGAAACACGGGAATTCACACATTCCTTAAATAAGTACAGGCTGAAATAATATGGCAAAAATTGTGCCATTTTAAACCCCAATACCCATCTGGCAGTTTATTGAAAACAACAAAGCTGCAGCATGTGTTGTAGCTATGTTACTTCACAGGCAGACAGCATGATATATGGAGAAGAGGAGACCCATAGCTGGAGGATATCCAGCTCTTTTCTTCAACTTAGACATACAAGGAATAGCCCTATACTAAGGCAGATTGTCAGTTCTTTAGCCCAGCAGTATCTGCTCTGACTGAGAGAAATTCTTCATGGTGTAAGCCTTTTTAAAAATTCCTCCTAGGATCCTTATAGTCAAAACAACACTATATGCAGAAACACCGGGAACTACTTAAAGACTAAGAATATCTTCAGTTTTAGCATATAATTTCTCCAGAACAAAAGCAGAAGCAGGAGATGAGCAGACAGTGCATGGATTGGACAACCTTGCATCATTTCCTCTATATATTCTACAGTAAGCGTGGAAAAGTTTCTTCCACACCTTTAAGATTTTGGCAAATGGTAAAGGATGTGTTCCATAAGGCAAACCTAATCTAGAGCTATGAGCAATGAGATTTGTCTGCTGTTTGCCCCTATTCTTTGAAGTTCTGAACAAGGATAACTGTTGGCAATGACACCTGGCCCTCCTTAATTGTTGTTTTGTTACAATTTGTGGTGTGCTAATTTGGGGAATTTGTCCCCCAGCACAGGCTGACCAATAAATCAGATGCAACAAAAGAGGTAATAGCCTTTATTCAGCCCGCATGTGTTAGTAAAAAGTGGGTGTTAGGCTTTTGTTTCACTGAATTCTTAAACTAGCACTAGAAGGGCTAAAATGCATGTAAATTGAAAGAGGAGGCTAGCAGCACTGGGTCGTTCCCCCGCCCATGTACAGTAAGTATAAGGGAGCAATCTGGAACACAACCATAGCAGGGGTGAGGAGATAAGACAGATTTAACAATCAAGACCCCATGATTATAATTTACATAAATAATAATTTCTACTAATGGCTCACTATGTTTTAATATAAATTGCAGATATAGAGAGGGCTGTTACATGAGTAACCTTAATGCCAAAAAAAAGGAATAAAACATAAAATACTGACAGGAATTTTTAATGCTGTTAAGTCTCACAAGATCCAGACCATATTTTAGGTTTCTGTCAGTTGGCAATGTCTGCAAAGCACCAATTAATTTTAATCTCAAAAACAAACGCCTAGACTCTGCTTCTTAATCTTTCTCTGCCCAAAAACACAGAACTCTCTCATACCTTTGTGTTGGTTCAAGAGAAAATGTATAGTAAAGGCTGATGTGAAATGTCTACCTTACTGTTATAAAATTTTGCCGTAACTTGCCCCCTCCTTAGATGTGCATCCCCACCCTTATAACAAACACTACACCAGAGGAGATTTGCAGGGTGGGCGGGGGAGAGAGGTCTTCCAGTTTATTCTCAGTAAGAGCAACAAGAGCAGCATAGGCCTACGGGTGTTTAGCTGGGTCTTGAACCAGACTTTCTATACTCTGTTCAGCACTGTGACTGCACTTTATCTTAAGCCAAAGATTATACCAAGGATCAGGAGACATGAAATTAGGTTAACAAAGCTTTCTTTTACTAGAGATAGAATACTTAGCAACCATAGAAAAATAGGGCATGGTCCAGCATTCTGTCCCACCAAATCACTTTTGTGGTTTTTGCATAGGATCAGACAGCCAAGCAGTGACAAAGACTGACTTTCAGCTGACTCACTGACAGGGTGGAGCGGATAATTATGGGAAGATCTAGGGTTGGGCCAAACCCGAGACCTAGTTTGCGATAACATATACCTTTCTCTGTGCAAGAATTCTCTCTGTAAAGAGGCAGCAAGTCATGTGAGAGCCCCACCTACAGTCAGAAGTGGTAGCCTAGACACAGGTTTACTCTGTGAAAAATTGTTACACTACAACACTTGTGAAGAATTACTTCTGCTTCTCAAGGGCCCAGCCTGTGACTTTGCAGACAGAAAAAGCAAGGGAGTTATGCTAAATGGTATGTATGAAACCTCAAGTACTTCATACCAGTTGAAAATCTAATCTTACAAAAAAGGACTGGGGCAGGCAATTAGCAATGGTTGTAGAAAGGAAAATTACCAGGTTAGGGCCACTAAACTGGCAGCAGCTCAGATTACAAGTGGTAAATTCCTGAGCCTTGAATCACAGCAGAGTTCCTGTAGCCTCTGGGGCCCCTTCACCATTGATCTCACCCCCACCTGCTTACTCAGCTGTCTCATGGCGCTCCACCGAAACCCCACAGCCAGTAGTTGATAAACACTGGGTGCCTTAGTCTGAATTTTCAAAGTACTGAAGCTAGAAGTTGGACTCTGCCTCAATGTACAACATACTTTGGACACTAAATTATGTAAGAGGCTCACTTGAGCTCATGAGTCAATTGGTATTATAGTAACTAAATAAACAGGTGACAGTCTCCTGGTTCCAGTTCGTTTTGTACTTGTAATGTTGAATGCAATCACAGAATTCAGAGTAAGGGATCACCGACCATGTAAATAATAAATATATGTTGCACAATGGGATGAAGGTACTTTAACATCAGTAGCATCATAAACTCAAGTGAGCCACATTTACACTTTAGTGTCCAAAATATGTATACTTTGGGGCAGAAAAGTCAGTCCTTATCAAATTAGTTTCTATGTCATTCTTTAAATATTTCCATCACGTGCATTAGTTTTCATGGCAATTTGCATGGATGCCTAAGAGTCTTGTTTGATGACATGTATTGTGCCAGCAAGTGGTTATGAAAAGGTTTCCACTGCATGATCCTGGGACTAGAGAGAAGCACAAGATGCTCCATTGGGGATTACCTCTTTTAAGATCCCACAGCTGCTAATGTTTTGAACACATCAAACATCCTGCCTGCCAGCACTGTCCAGCTGGCTCTTGGCCCATGTTTATGGAAATGCTATTTTTATTCATCATAAACAAGTTTGCAAGCTGTGTTGCTGAAGTTCTAAATATAAGCTTCCCATGTTCTCACACACATCGTGAAACCAGACATTGTTATACAATTCAAGCTATGTAAACCAACCTAGCTGGTATGGTTAGATCTGAAAGATAACTCCTAACAGGCATCAATAGGTACCCAGACCTAAGCAAGGCTCAGCTTATTGATACCCTTACTGGACACCCCCCCCAATGTATTGGCTCTAAATGCAGTAATTCTCAGATGTCTGGGCTGGCTTTTGGAAAATGCTGTTAAACCCTTATACTACAACTGAGTAATTTAGATGAAACAAATAAACATCCATAAATGCTTGCTTGGAATTTTGGCCCTTCAATATGTTGTGAGGGTTATTTGTTCTCTCCCTCTGCCACCAATTTGCTATTTTAATTTGAACCCCTTTCTTTTGTATATTCCCAACAGTCTTATACTTTTGGTGACAGGACCCAGCAAATATCTGAACATTTTCCCACACCCTCTTTACCGAAGAGATAAAAAATGTGAAGCTTGTAGAAGGTTAAGTAAAAAACTAAACACAGAAGTAAGAAAAATTAGATGCTTTTTTATTTCAGTGACCAAAAATATTAACACCATTAAGAAAAGAATCAAGACAAGCCTGTATTTTGCCCTCTTCAAGGCAACAGAATAGGAAAAACATAAAATACATATACAGTTAGCAATACAAAGTACCTTGACATTGATCAATCTTACTGCCAACTTTGAAAATGATAATCTTAAGAACACACTGGCACAATTGTTCCCACTCCTAAAATTAGGCTCCCCTCTTTTGCACACTCTCCTTCCCTCCCACACACATTTTAGAAACACTTGAGGTGACACAACAGGTAAATCCAACACAACAGGGATTGTTTTATAGATTGGAGACCCAGCAAAAGGATGTCAGGAATAAAAAGGCAAAAAATTACATAATTCCATCCCACTGAGTGACTTGTTTTACAGAACACTTAAAAAAGAACTTGCATACAGATTTAATTGCTCCAGTTCCTCTTGTCTGGATGAATAACAGCCAAGCTAGACATGGAATGGCAAGGAAAAAATTATGCAGAGGGAAAAACAGAATCCTCCTTGCTGTATCACATATATAAAAGATTCAGTCATCTAGGAAAACCACAAGTAAGCCTTTAAGATGACTTCTTATGAAAAAAAAACTAACTCCTCTTCCTCTTTTTCAGTAATTCTGGGCTCCACCTACATCTTTAAAAAAACAGCGTTGGTATGAACAAACACACACACACATAGAGCTAAGGCAACATGAACAGGAAATCCCCCTGCACTCCTGGACCCAGTGTAATGCAAATGCTAGTCATATGAGAGATGTGTCATCATAACTAGTATGACTGGCAGTTTTTGTCCCTCCTCCTTCTGTTCCGGCTCTCACCCACACACACACACGCACACTCACACACAGGCAAGACTAATCTGGCTTTGAGATCTTCTCTGGCACCAAGAAATAGGCCACTTCATCAACCTTAATTACTAGGTAAGAAGAAAGAGATGGCCCTGAGGAAAAGAATGCTGAGGCGAAGGCCCCCCCCCATTCCTTCTTCCCCGCCCGCCCAAGGAGCGGGTCTTGACAAAAGCGGCTCTTCTCCCGCAACTCTCAGCAGCAGGCCTTTTTCTTAACCCTTCCGGGGAGCGGCCGCCAAAACCTGACCCTCCTTTTCAAAGCCCATTCAGAAAGAAAGGGAGGGGGGGAGGGAGTAACAAACACGTCAGGCCAGAACAGGCAAAACAGCTTTCGTCGAGGGAAGGCAGGATACACACACACACACACACACACACGTCGTCGTTCTCCTCGAACGAGCACCCACAAAGTGCACTCAGTCCAGACCGTGGTTGCTTTCCGCCCGAAACCGGATTAAAGAAGAGCCACGAACGGGGGTGGCGAGTCTCTCTTTTGTTTTTCTCCTAGAGGTTGTGCTCTCTCTCTCCCCACCCCCCAAAAGTATTTTTATATCTCGGTCCGAGAACACCGCGGCTCTTGCCGGCGCGTCCACTGCTCGTCGTGCCCCGCACTCTTCCCCCCCCCCGCGCAGCAGCAGCAGAAGAGTCCCAGGCTTGCTCGCCGAACCGGGGAGGGGGGCCGTCGTCCGTCTGGGGTCACCGACCCTGCGCCGCCTTTTGTCTCGCCTTCTTCCCAAGCCACCGGAAAAGGAGGGGGGGGAAATAGAGGAAGGGGGGCCGCCCAGGGCTCGGCTCCCCTCTCCCCCCCGCCGCCGCCCGGCTCCCCAAGTCCCTCACCAGCCTCCTCCCGCGCTGCGCGTCTTCCTAATCGCCCAAGGCCCCGCCACCAAGAAGAAGGGGCCGGGGGGGTGGGAGGCGGTGTTCAGCCCCTCTGCGGAGAGAGGGCTTCGGCAGGCTCCGCTTCTCCTCCTCCGGAGACAGAGAAGGTTCCAGCTACGAGTCCCTCTGGCAGGGGGGCCGCTTTAAAAGGCCACCACAGCTCTCACCATTATGCTCAGCACCCCATCCCCTTGCCTACAGTTCGCCTTGGGCTCGTCGCTGCCTTTGGCCGGCGGCGGCGGGAGGATCAAGCCGGAGAACCGGTCTTGCAAGACTCTGGCTAAGCTCGGGAAAGGTCCCTCTTGGCGCTGCGGCTGCCTCTCGCCTTCCTCTTCCACCAGTTTCGCCTTCTTGCTGGGCACGAGCCCGGCTTCGGCGGCGCCGATCTTGCCAAGGCTGCTACTCCGCCGCTTGCGGTTAGGCTTGGCGGCACCCGGAGGCCTCGGGGCGCTCCGGCTCCACGTCGTCTGAGAGGAAGGTTGCGCAGGCGGGCCGCTGGGGAGCCCCTCCTGGGTCTCCATAGGTTCCGGATCTGGATTGGCGCCACGCAGAGCCGACGGCGGTGCCTCTACGGGCGGCGAGCTGGGTGGAGGAGGCCCTTCCTGGTGGGCTTGGGGAAACGGGGTCGGCGGCGGGGCCTCCAAGTATGGAGGGCAGGGCGGCCCCCCTTGCATGTCCACCAGCTGCGCCTCCTGCCCGTCGAAGCCCTCCGCAGCTCCGCCGCCGCCGCCCATCTCATCCTCTTCCTCCAGCTTGGCGGAGAGGTAAAGGTCGCGGGCGTTCCGCATGACGAGGGAGAGCTGGAGGCTGCGGTGGAGCCGGAGGCCGCCGCGCTGCATACGCGAGTGGTACATCTTCCACACCGACATGGTCATGATCCGCTGCGCTTCCTTCTGCACTTCCATTCTGCTTTCCTCCGCTTGGGACTATTCGGGGCTCCGCAGACACCGGGAGGGAAGGGTTCCTTTGGCACTTTCTTCCCCCAAAAAGGCGAAAGCGACACTCTCTCGGCCCCCCTTCCTTTTGTTTCAGCCACTTAAAGCTCTCCGAAAGAACCCGCTTTCGAGACGTCCTCCCCGACTAAACGCGGCCGCGCCCAGCGCGCTTCTTTTTATACCGCCAGTGATCTCAGCGCCTGGGCCCTCTCCCCGCCCACTCTCCGCGAGCCGCATCCGGCCCTTTGCCGCGCGCCACTGGCTGCCTTCCCCGGGAAGGGGGGGAGGGGGAAGCGGAAATGTCAGGGCGTGGGGGAAGGGAAGAGGGAAACGGCGCGCTGGGCCGAAAGGAGCGGAATGTGGAGGAGGAGGCGGCAGCAGCAGCTCGTAACAACAAAAGGGCTTGGGGCTTGAACTGGACGATTGTGGGGCAGAATTGGCTGGAGTAGGTGCATGGGCCGGCTCCAGGCTGTGGAAATCAATTTTTTAAAAAACGCACGACCTATGGCTGCAGATTCTCTAGCTAATTTGCTTCACAGGAGATTGGTTGGGATTAGTAGGACATTTTACAACGTAATCCTATGCATGTCTACTTTGAAGCAAGTCCCTTTGGGTTCAGTTCTATGGTAACGATCCCATAACAAATAAATAAATGAAAATTTGGTGCACTGAGCTGAGTTTGAATGAAATCCGTGGGATTGGCTCCGTGCAAGATTAAGCCTGGCAGCTAGGGCAGGCTCATGCATGCAGAGCTCTGAAGTTTACTGCAGGTAATTGCATTCCATGAGTAGCAACTGATAAATTTTGCATTTTGAAGTTCCACATGGGAAAAGGTGATATAACTATTAATGACACACTATTGAAAGAGCGCAGTCCTCTTATTCCATGTGACTTAATCGACATGAGGGTAAGAAAAAAATTCTGCCTACACTGGCTCACACGTGCACGCAGGAGACCATTTCACAGTGAATTATTACATATGGGACTCCACTGCCTCCCATCTTCTCTTGAGTGCCATAAAATACAGTACAGTATATGGGACTCCACTGCCTCCCATCTTCTCGAGTGCCATAAAATACAGTACAAAATGCAAGTGCACAACCTTAGAATGTAGTAGAAAATGGCAAATACATGTTGCAGTGGATCTCAAGCATCTGGTGACCTTACCAATGAAAATGCCCTTTGTTTGCCCACTGACTCTTCAGCAAGTCCATGTTTGCTTCCTTGGAGTCCCTTTCTTAGGAATCCCATAGCATTTCGTTGGTCTTGTTATTTTTGAGCCATACTTGCAGACTGTGTGCATGTGCAGGGGAATAAACTCTGAACCTTTTCTTTGACATTATTAGCAGATGGTTTTTTAAGTTTTGAGATTTCACAATTCCCCATTGTACAGTTAAGGACTCACATTTCGCAACAAAGCCACTTGAGAGCTATTACTAAAACAAATGCAAATCTCATGCATAAATATGACTTGGTTTTAACCTGATTTGCCAGTTATTTCAACTCTCACTAGTAGAATCAACCACAGTATCTTTATGCAATGGTTGCAGGCTGGTGCTTACCAGCCTCTTATTTCATCTAAAGCTGATTAAGTCTACTGGTTATAGCAAGTGAAAAAGACATGCAAATTAAAAGCAACATTTAGACTAAACAATGCAACAAGAAATAATTGTAAAAGTCTCCATAAATCCCAGACCAAAACAATTCATAATAGATATTGCACACAAAAAATTGTGACAACATACTCCTGTTGAAATCTCACTGTTGTGCCCGTAAAATTTATGTGAGTGTAGAACCAATATTTATAAATACAATGACTTCTGGATAAATTGAAACCTTGCACACTTATGTGGCATTTTAATTGGTAGTAATAAATATATTATCCAACTGAAAGCGACACTTAATTGTATTTTTTTAATTGTATTTTTTTAACAACCCAACCTTTGTTTTAGTATAGGTAAACAATGATTTGTCAACAGGTCCTTCTGGAATTCGTAGTTCATAGGGTCACCAGAAGTAACTTAATGACACCTAACAAGGACTGAGTAATGAAACTGAGGCTAGTCTTATAGATTTTTTCCCCTACCCAGGTCAAAATCATTTTCCAAAACATGAGGTCGGTTGTGCTATTCCTGTTGTCTCTCAGGATCAAGTATGGCCTAGATGGAAAGAGCAGTTTATTCTCATATCCAAATTCTGTTAGGTGGCATGGAAGGTTTTGAGAAGTGTCAGCTGCAGGCTGCATGCCACCATTGATGAATCCTTTGCGCGACGAAGCAAGAAGAATTTACATTTCCAACAGTTAAGGACCTCTGTACAAGATTTTTTTTGCACTTCTGCAAACGTACGAGGGACTTTAGGGTTGCTTGGTGTTGGGGCAAGACACTAACTGCTCCCAGGGTGGCCAATAAAAGCATGAGAACGGGTGGATCTCCTGGAAAGTGGTTTTTCCTGCTTCCCTGTCTTAATTACTCAATCGGAAATGGGGGGAGGAGGAGGGGAAAGAGTTCTGACCACGTGTCTTTTCCCCTGCGAACAGCAAATGGAGGAGAGCTTTCATTTCCTCTTTCTAGCTAGGTGGTCATTAACCACACAAGATGTTGCAATGCTTCTTCCCACGCTTTGTTGGATGGGAATCTCACTCCCAGGCGGCATCCTTGTTTTCCTCTTTACTCACCGGGCTTCGTGGCTCGGTGTACACGCACCAAGTGGACCGTCGTGTCACACTCTTTTCGCATGACGCATCGCAAATTCAGTTTGAGGGGCAGACACGCTGATGCCGAGGGATCCTAGGATTTTTATTCACCCACCTTGGAAGCGCCTTCATACTGCTTTGACAAGATCGAAGCGGAACAAGTCTTGTCTTGGCCGAAAAATTACCCAGACTCCCCAAGTGCTTTAAGCAGGCACTCTCGCTCTTGGCTTCCCGCCGGTTTTCCCCGCGGGCCTGTTTTCCCTTCAAAAGCTCCTCCCTCCCATGAGGTCACGCCCGCCCCTACCAGCCCCCCCTCAGTTTCCTTGCATGTATTATTGGCCCATGACGACAGGGGGCGGGGCCACACTTGCGTTTACCAACGTTCGAAATATGCTGACGCGCGCGGCAACAACAGCGAACGGCGGCGGCGGCGGCCTTTGCTTCCTGTGTCCATAAATGGGCAACGGGAGAAAAGGCCTCCGTCGAGTTTCCGGGAGTCTGTCCAAGGAAAGGCTCGGGTTCTGCCAGGCGGCCATCGGTTTGCCCGCGCCACGACAACAACAACAACAACGCGGCACTTTATGGAACGGGGTTGCACGCCTCATTCTGAAATCTGCAGCAGCCGAATCTGCACTCATACAGTTGCACCGCAGTGGGGTCGCACTGAAACCCTTCTACCCCCCCCCTCCAACCTCCTGTAGACAAAACGCTGGAAAGCCCCTCGGAAGACGAATATTCCATGACCCAAAGGTGACGCTGTGGGGATACCTTTATTACGTTTCCTAACACTGCAAACAGAAGGCTTTGCTTCCACCCCACAGAGGTCTTCCCTCAGGCTAGGTTCCAAAAAAATCACGGTTTTTCTTCTCGGCTCTTCTCCAGCGGTCCCACGCAACTTTCTCCCAAACTCCACCCACCCCAAACCCACTTCATTTACTGGGCTTCAGCATGAGGCACAAAACTCCCACGCAACTACATAAGGCAATTTCCCTCCTTATTAACACTTTGCTGGGGCTCTGGCGCGTGGAGAACCGAGATTCACGGACTGGGTTGATGATTCCCACAAATGCAATTCTCTTTGTTGTCTTAAAAACAACAGAGCTTGGAACTGTTGTTGAGCTGCGCTGACTGGGAATTTGGGAGGTCTAATGCAAACAAACGAATACCCCAACGTTCCCATGCTCTGGGAGATGATGGCCAAGGACAATGGGTGCACCCCATACTCCGAAGGCTACTTGCGGGTAACCCCCCCCCTCCCCGCCTGAGGTACACTTAATCCGGAGCCAGCTCCATCGAACGGAGTGCAATTTGCTTCCGAAGAAAGGCGCAGAGGGTCGGGTTTGCCCCCTCCCTGGGTCAAGCTGCTCGTCTTCGAGCGGGATCAGGAGCTCTCCTTCCAAACTGCCGCAAAGGCCTTCTCATTGCGTCATCCCCACACTGCGCCCAAGTTCGCACAAATGCACACGCATTTTCACTCCTTTGCTCGGTGTTTCTCGCTTGGCAAGTTTGCGCATGCGTGAGCCTCGCAAACAGCAACTCGGAGATTAACGCGGAGAATGCGATTGCAAAAAAATAAAAGAAAGAAAAAGAAAGAAAGAAAGAAAGAAAAGCAGCGGGCACCTAGTAGGGCATTTCCCCTGGTCCCGCCCGTAGTGCACGAACGTGGAGGGCAAGCCCCCGTCGACTTTTTTGGCCAGCCTCGGGTTACCCTAATGAGCGTGGAGGCTGTCGGTATTTCCCCATCCGCGGGAAGGGAGCCCCAAACTTTCTACCGGGAGGTGTTGAGATCTGGAAGTGAGACGGGCGAGGAATGAATCAGGACCCACGGCGGAAAGGGGTGGTCCCGCCCGTAGTGCACGAACGTGGAGGGCAAGCCCCCGTCGACTTTTTTGGCCAGCCTCGGGTTACCCTAATGAGCGTGGAGGCTGTCGGTATTTCCCCATCCGCGGGAAGGGAGCCCCAAACTTTCTACCGGGAGGTGTTGAGATCTGGAAGTGAGACGGGCGAGGAATGAATCAGGACCCACGGCGGAAAGGGGTGGCGGGGCTACGAAGCCGGCCCTCA